TAAGGATCCTATAGGATCCCTATAGGGTTCCTATGGAATCGCGCAGGACCCTGCACGGACCCTATAGGCTTCCTCTAGGATTCCTATGGACCCTGTAAGGATCCTATAGGATCCCTCTAGGGTTCCTATAGAATCGTGCAGGACCCTGTAAGGATCCTATAGGATCCCTACAAGGTTCCAATGGAATCCGGCAGGGCCCTGTGAGGATCCTATCGGATTTCTATAAGGTTCCGAGGGAATCCTGTAGGACCCTGTAAGGATCCTATAAGACCCCATACAGGATTCGGACGTGCAGGACCCTGTACGGATCCTATGGGATCCCTATAGGGTCCTATGAGATCGTGCAGGACCCTGTCAAGGATCCTATTCGGACCCCTATAGGGTTCCTATGGCATCGTGCAGGACCTCCTCTATAGGACTCCCATGGAATCGTGCAAGACCCTGTACGGTTCCTATAGGACCCCTCTAGGGGTCCTATGGAATCGTGCAGCACCCTGTAAGGATCCCATAAGATCCCTCTCGGGTTCCTATGGAAACCTGTTGCACCCTGTACGCATCCTATAGGATCCCTAGGGTGTGGATCGTGGGGATGATCCCTCTAGGTTGGAGTGTGATGATGTAAGGATCCTATGGGATTCCGCCCGTCCCTATGCCGGGTGTTCCCGTGTAAGGATATAGGCATAGGACAGGACGGAGGGGGATCCTACAGGGGGACTACCAGGACTAAGGATCCCTACCGAGGGAACAAGGGATCCAAAAGGCTCCCTCTAGGCCCGGTTCCCAGAGGGTAGGCCCTACCCAAGGGCCACGATAGAGCTAAAGCCTCCCCAGGGGCCTAGGCGCGCTAAACTTCGGTGGAGCAACGATCCTCGCCCCTCGGTGGAGCCCCGCTTCGCCGAAACCAAGGGTAGGAGCCCGATCACCCCAAGGCTCCTAGGGCTTCCCAAGGGTAGGCCGCTACCCAAGGCCCTACCCAAGGCTAGGCTTCCAAGGGTAGGCCCTACCCAAGGCCCTAGGCTTCCTAAGGGTAGGCACCCAGGCCCTAGGCTTCCCAAGGGTAGGCCCTACCCAAGGCCCTAGGCTTCCCAAGGGTAGGCCCTACCCAAGGCCCTAGGCTTCCCAAGGGTAGGCCCTACCCAAGGCCCTAGGCTTCCCAAGGGTAGGCCCTACCCAAGGCCCTAGGCTTCCCAAGGGTAGGCCCTACCCAAGGCCCTAGGCTTCCCAAGGGTAGGCCCTACCCAAGGCCCTAGGCTTCCCAAGGGTAGGCCCTACCCAAGGCCCTAGGCTTCCCAAGGGTAGGCCCTACCCAAGGCCCTAGGCTTCCCAAGGGGTAGCCCTAGGGTAGCCCTAGGGGTGGGCCCCAGGGGTAGCCCCAGGGTAGCCCTAGGGGTAGGCCCTAGGGGTAACCCTTTATTGCGGATTACAATATGATTCCTTTGGTCGGGCGGGCGGGCGGGACATTAATAGCATTGGTTGCCTTGGTGGCGGATTACATATATTGATTCCCTGTGTGGTGGATTATCAACTGATTATTATTGTCGGGCGGGCGGGCGGGACACTAAAGGCATTGATTGCATGTGTGGCGGGTGGCACACTGGTTCATATTGTGGCAGATTACACATTGATTCCTTTTGTCGGGCGGGCGGGCGGGACATTAAAGGCAATGATTGCTTGTGTGGCGAATTACGAATGGATTCTCTTTTATTGCGGATTACAAACTGATTCCTTTGGTCGGGCGGGCGGGCGGGACATTAAAAGCATCGATTGCTTTGGTGGCGGATTACAAAGTGATTCCATGTGGCAGCGGGTTACAAGTTGATTACTATTGTGGCGGATTACAAGCTGATTCTTTTGGTCGGGCGGGCGGGCGGGACATTAAAGGCATTGCTTGCTTTGCTGGCGGATTACATATTGATGCCCTTTGTGGCGGAGTGGGAGTGGAAGAGGAGGAGAAGGGGGAGGAGGAGCAGGTGGGGGAGGCGGAGGGCGACGATGACGACGACGACGACGACGACGACGACGACGACGACGACTGTCTGGGCCTGGAGCGTGCCCGGCGGGGCGCGCCTTCCTGAGCGCACGCCGACGCGAGGGAGACGCCGAGGACCGACGAAGACCTGCTCGGCCCTCGGTCTTCGAGGAGGTCTGGGCTTGGGCCCCCCTCTCTCCTCCTCCTCCTCCTCCTCCTCCTCATCCTCCCCCTCTCTCCTCCTCATCCTCCTCCTCCCCCCCCCTCGCTGAACCTCCCTCGCGAGGGACCCCCCCTCACAGGACCCCCCCCCTGGGGACCCCCCTCGTGACCCCCAATCGCTGACCCCCCCTCGGCCAGACCCCCCCTCGCAGACCCCCCCTCTGGGACCCCCCCTCGCTGACCCCCCCTCTGGGACCCCCCTCACAGACCCCCCCTCGCTGACCCCCCCTCTGGGACCCCCCCTCGCTGACCCCCCCTCGCACGACGACCACAACCGACCGTCCGACTGTCCGACCGACGCGCCCGCCGAGCGGCAGTCTGACCGATCGACCGACCGACAACCACGACGACGACGACGACGACGACGACGACGACGACGACGACGGCGGCGGCGGCGGCGGCGACGGCGGCGGCGGCGACGACGACGACGGCAACGGCGGCGGACGGCACGACGACGACGACGGCAACGGCGACGACGACGACGACGACGCGACGACGACGACAAAGCCGAGCCGATCGACGGTCGACGGGGGCGCCGTCTGGCGCCAGGGCGGCGCAGGCGGGGCTGTCACCTCCTCCTCCTCCTCCTCCTCGTCCTCCTCCTCCTCGTCCTCCCCCTCCTCCTCCTCCTCCTCTCTCCGTCTCTCCTGCTCCTCCTCCGCCCTCTCCCTCTCCCTCTCCCTGTCCCTCCTCCTCCTCCTCCTCCTCCTCCTCCTCCTCCTCGGTACTCCTCCACCTCATCCTCGTGCTTCTCCTCCGGCAAAGGCGGCCCTAGGGGTAGGCCCAAGGGGTAGCCCTAGGGTAGCCCTCGCTGACCCCCCCTCGCAGACCCCCCCTCACAGACCCCCCCTCTGGGACCCTCCCTCGCTGACCCCCCCATCGCTGACCCCCCCTCGCAGACCCCCCCTCGCAGACCCCCCCTCTGGGACTCCCCCTCGCTGACCCCCCCTCTGGGACCCCCCTCACAGACCCCCCCCGCGCTGAGACCCCACCCTCTGGCGCCCACCAGTCGCTGACCCCCAGCCCCCCTCGCACGACGACCACAACCGACCGTCCGACTGTCCGACCGACGCGCCGGCCGAGCGGCAGTCTGACCGATCGACCGACCGACAACCACGACGACGACGACGACGACGACGACGACGACGACGACGACGACGACGACGACGACGGCGGCGGCGGCGGCGGCGACGGCGGCGGCGGCGACGACGACGACGGCAACGGCGACGACGACGACGACGACGACGACGACGACGACGACGACGCAAAGCCGAGCCGATCGACGGTCGACGGGGGCGCCGTCTGGCGCCAGGGCGGCGCAGGCGGGGCTGTCACCTCCTCCTCCTCGTCCTCCTCCTCCTCGTCCTCCCCCTCCTCCTCCTCCTCCTCCTCCTCCTCCTCCTCCTCCTCTCTCCGTCCCTCCTGCTCCTCCTCCGCCCTCTCCCTCTCCCTGTCCCTCCTCCTCCTCCTCCTCCTCCTCCTCCTCCTCCTCGGTACTCCTCCCCCTCATCCTCGTGCTTCTCCTCCGGCAAAGGCGGCCCTAGGGGTAGGCCCAAGGGGTAACCCTAGGGTAGCCCTAGGGGTAGGCCCTAGGGGTAGCCCTAGGGTAGCCCTAGGGGTAAACCCTAGGGGTAGGCCTAGGGTAGCCCTAGGGGTAGGCCCTAGGGGTAGGCCTAGGGTAGCCCTAGGGGTAGGCCCTAGGGGTAGCCCTAGGGTAGCCCTAGGGGTAGGCCCTAGGGGTAGCCCCAGGGTAGCCCTAGGGGTAGGCCCTAGGGTAGCCCTAGGGTACCCCTAGGGGTAGGCCCTAGCCCTAGGGTAGCCCTAGGGGTAGGCCCTAGGGGTAGCCCTAGGGTAGCCCTAGGGGTAGGCCCTAGGGGTAGCCCTAGGGTAGCCCTAGGGGTAGGCCCTAGGGGTAGCCCTAGGGTAGCCCTAGGGGTAGGCCCTAGGGGTAGCCCTAGGGTAGCCCTAAGGGTAGGCCCTAGGGGTATCCCTAGGGTAGCCCTAGGGGTAGGCCCTAGGGGTAGCCCTAGGGTAGCCCTAGGGGTAGGCCCTAGGGATAGCCCTAGGGTAGCCCTTCCTTGGGTGATCTATAAGCCAGATTTAGGAATCGTCTCGTGCAGGACCCATGACGGCCCAAGGGCCCAAGATGGCTCGAAGACGGCCGAAGATGACCTCAAGACGGCCCAAGGCAAGCTGAAGATGGTCAAATATGGCGTCGCTGTGCACACACATGCGCACACATAAACGCACGCAACCAGAGGGAAGAAGGATCCGCACACATACAGGTCCATACACGGAGGGTTCCACACTTGTTGCACGAATGAGCTGTTTGTGGTCCATGCGCTTACGTACTGATCATTCTTTTGGTTTCCCATGGCTTTTGGTTCCAGATGGCTCCAAAAGGGCCTCGGAAGAGCTACACAGAGCCCCAAGACATGGGCCCCGCGACAACCCAACAGGGCTCACAGACGGCCAAGATACCCCGAAGAGCTCCCAAGAAGATCACAATACGGCCAAAGAGGGCTCGAAGAGACCTTCAATATGGTCGCCCCCCAGAAGGCCCAAGAGTGAGGGCCTCAAACGGCTCCGTGACATGTCCCACAGGGAGGATGAGGATGAGGAGGAGACGCAGGACGAGGAGAAGGAGGGGAAGTGATGCATGAGGATGAGCAGGCAGGGGAAAGACGCAGATGATGGAAAAAGAAGGAAGATGACGAATCATAGGACGAGGAAGGATGAGGAGGGATCTGGACGAGGACGGAAACGGGGACATGGGAATGGGGAGGACGAGGACGAGGGGAAGAGATCCTCAGGAAGCGCTGCCACGACGGACAGCGAAGACGAGCAGGAGGGCGCGAGCCGGCAGGAGCGTAAGGGCGAGACGGACCAGGGTGACGAGGACGACGACGACGCCTATCACGATGACGATGACGACGAAGATGCCCATGACGATGATGCTGATGATGATGATGCTGCTGATGATGATGCTGATGCTGCTGATGATGATGATGATGATGCTGATGCTGATGATGATTCTGATGATGACGATGACGATGATGTTATTGTTGCTGATGATGATGTTGATGGCGATAGCGACGATTATGCTGATGGGCGGTGGACGATGATGGTGGTGATTATGATGATGATTATGCTGATGATATTTGGAAGATGCTGATGGTGGTGATGCTGATGCTGATGCTGATGCTGATGCTGATGCTGATGCTGATGACGATGGTGATGATGATGATGATGATGATGATGATGATGATGATGATGATGATGATGATGATGCTGATGCTGATGCTGATGATGATGATGATGATGATGATGATGATGATGATGATTCTGCTGCTGATGATGGTGATGATAACGCTGCTGCTGCTGCTGACGATGATGGCGACATATGATGATAACAACGATGGCAATTCTGGTGATGATCACGACGATAATGATGAGGAGGGGATAAGGGGAGGAGGGGACAGGGGAGAAGGAAGGAGGAGGAGGAGGAGGAGGAAGAGGAGGAGGAAGAGGAGGACGAGGAGGACAAGGAGCAGGAGGAGGAGGAGGAGGAGGAGCAGGAGGAGGAGAAAGAGGAGGAAGAGGAAGAGGAGGAGGAGGAGCACCCGTGAGCGGCACTGTTAGCCTCACATCCAATGCTCCCGAACTGCCCTCCATCACCGAGCGGACGGGACGGATGGATCGTTCGGACGTGACCCCGCAAAGCGGTGCACATCTTCGCCGTCCAGTCGCGCGAGGCTGTCAGCACCTCCTGTCCGTTCGGCGAGAAAACGGCCCAATTCACGCGATCCTGGTGCCCCACCAGGACGTGCAGGCGCTCTCCCGAGAGGGCGGACGAGATTTTGGCCGTCCAGTCGTGGGACGTGGTCAGCACCCCGAGCCCGTCCGGTGAGAACGTGGCCGAGTTCACGCGATCCCTGTGGGCCTGAAGCGTACGCAAATTCCTCTCAAGGGAAAGACGACGATGACAATGACCACGACTGAACGCGGAAGCGTCGATGTCGACCTTGGTCATCGTCCGTCCTGGCCATCGCCAACTCATGGACCAACCTCGCAGATCCGCGACGGCTGGTATGCGCCGTGAACAAGATCGGCGTCGTCATGATCCCGCGACATCTTGGACATAGTCATCGTGTCTCCCTCCCTCGAGCCTCCCCGAGTCTACGGACCATATCTTCGCTGTGCCATCGTCCGATGCGGTCAGCACCTCCTGCCCGCTCGGCGAGAAGGCGGCGGCACAGACGGCGCCCGAGTCCTCCAGCGTCTGGGCGCACTCCCAGTCCCCAGACCGCGCGGACCAGACCTTGGCCGACCGATCGCACGAGGCGGTGAGCAAACTCTGCCCGTCCGCCGAGAACGCGGCCGAGTACACCCAATCCTGGTGGCCCCGCAGCGTGTGCAGGCACTCGCCAGAACCGGCAGACCAGATCTTCGCCGTCCCGTCGTGCGATGCGGTCACCACCAGCCGCCCGTCCGGCGAGAACGCGGCCGAGCTCACGCGGCCCGCGTGGCCGCTCAGCGTGCGCAGGCAGTGCCCAGAGTCCTTGGACCAGACCCTCGCCGACCCGTCCAGGCACCCGGACACCACTCGCGCGGCCGCGGTCACGACCAGCGTCAGCTCGCTGCCGCTCCTGGCCCCGATGCCGGCCAGCGTCGCGCTTCCACAGAGCTCCGTCTCCCCGAGGAAGAGGCGCGCGCCCCCCTCCTGCTGCGCGGCCTGGGCCGGCAGCGCCGCGAGCACGTCGGGCAGCTGCCAGGAGGGCTCGGCGTCCAGGGCTGCGAGCTCGCGCCCTGCGCAGGTGACCACGGGCACGCGCATCATCCTGCGCGGCGGCCCACGAGCCGGGGCAACCAATAGATTGAGAGGGGCGCTGCGTGAGAGCAGGGGAACGAAAAGTGACACAAACATAAAAACGCGGAGGCGCGCGCGGATTTCTCGGCTCGGCGCTGGGGCCCCCCGGCGGCGCCTCTGGCGCCGCCCCTGGCGCGCTCCGCGCGCCAGGGAGGGGGGTCCAGCGCCGATCCGAGAAATCCGCGCGGACCTCGAGTTTTTATGTTTGTGTCATTCCTCCTCCTCTTCCTCCCCCCCCTCCTCCTCCTCCTCCTCTGCCTCCGCCTCCTCCTCCCCCTCCTCCTCCTCCTCCTCCTCCTCCTCCTCCTCCTCCTCCTCCTCCTCGTTGTGCTGCTGGACAGGGGGAGCAGACAGGGCGGGGCTCGCTGCAGAGCACCTCCCTGGGCCGAGATGCTCACGGGAGCAGGGCGTGCCAGAAGAACGCACGGGCTTCGATGGGCACTTCCGCGACGCTCTCTTGCGCACTGCGCTCGCCCACAGCTCGCCCCCGCCTTCCTGCACGGGCTCCTGCCGGGCACTCCGCGCGACACTCGCCCCAGAGTTCCGGGCTCCGTGGAGAAAGCTTATGCGACGAGCCCGTCACGTGAGTGTCCGTGAGTCTGTCTGTCTGCCTGTCTGTCCGTCGACTGTCTGTCTCGAAAGAGATTTCTGCCTCGCTCTCTCTCTCTCTCTCTCTTTTTTTTCTCTCTCTCTCTCTCTCTATCTCTCTCTCTCTCTCTCTTTCTTCCCCCCTCTCTCCTCTGTCTCTCTCCCTCTTCCTCTTTCTCTTTCCTCTCTTTCTCTCTCTCTCTCTCTCTCTCCCCTCTCTATATTCTTCATACCTCTTTCTTACTCATACGTCTTTGTTCATTGTATATATATGTATATATTATCTCGTCTCCTTTCGTTCGTCAACCTTCTCTGCCTTTATCCAACATATAACTATACTAACATATCCATCCTTCGGTGGCTTTTGCTGTCTCTCTGTCACTCTTTCTCTCACCCGCCCCTCTCTCTATTTCTCTTTTTGTCCATGTCGTCCCTCTCTCTTTCTCGGTCTCTGTCTCCGTCGCTATCTTTCTGTGCATGTCTTGGTCTCTCTCTCTCTCTCTCTCTCGCTCTCTCGTGCAACGAACGTTGGCGCACAGTGCTCCGACTGAAACTGGGTTTGCCTTCTTTCATCACTCGAACAAGCGCTATCCTGCATTGGGGTAGAAGCTCGGGAGCTGGACACAAGTATTACAAGCTACTTGGACGTTCTGACGCGTGCAAATGAGCCGTATCCGCCACCGTGCCGGCACGGAGTGGTCGTGTTAGAATGCTCGTCTGTTGCCTGATAAAAGGTGTGTGTGTGTGTGTGTGTGCGTGTGCGCGTGTTTGTGTGTCGTCCTCAGGTTTCTGGCTGCTCTATGTCCACGTTTGGGGTTACAGTCCCTCTCACACACCACCCATCGTTGCACTTTCAGTGTGGGACGTCCTCGACTCCATCTGCTGCTCGCGATTGGGGAACCTCTGCGCCGCTGACTTGCAGAGTGTGTGTTCTGTGGTCGACCCTCCCCCCCCCACCAGCGCGCATCCTTCTACGATCACCCCCGCTGAAGTTGCTCTATGGTATTTTTTCTGCCTTCCGAGGGCCAGGATGGCTTCCAAGACAGCCAAAGATGGCACAACATAAATGGAGAGGCTCCCGAGACGGCCTCAGGGCAGCCCAAGAGGCCTCCAAGACGGCCCAAGAGGGCTTCAAGAGGCCCTCCAAGAGAGCCCGAGGAAAAATAATGGATTATCTCAACATTTTCGAAACATTTCGAAATTCCCGCCTGTTTGTTTGCAACCTCCAATACCTCGCAACTACGAATAATCGGCCAAGATGGAGCGCCTCCCGTTAGGGCCCCCGTATAACGTTGTAAGTGGCGTTGCGCCCGCGACAAGAGAGGAGATGTCAAAGGGGCCCGTTAGGCCGCGGGGCCCCAAAACAATGTTCTGCTCATGTTTTGTTCGGCTCAAGTCTCGGGAGGAACCGCCGTTTCGAATTCGAATCCGATGGTTTCGAAATCCAATCGAGATCGTTTTTGTTGGAGGACGTCTCAAGCGAAAACCACACTTTCGAAATCTATGGTCAGGAATTCAAAACTTTGAATGCCAAACGGTGTGGCCACTTCGAAACGACGATTTCGATGGAGACTTCCTCGGTAAAAACAGTTTCGACCAATTTCGAAACTTTCGGGTTCGATGTCGAAATGGCGCTCCCGCCTAAGACTTCCTCCAAACTAGAATGCGAAACCTTTCTGGTTCGATTTCGCAGTGGCGCTCTCCTCCAAGACTTCCTCCGAAATAAAACTCGGAGCCTTTCGGGTTCGACTTCGAAATGGCGCTCCCGCGCCCAGGACTTCCTGAAAATCTGGTTCGACTTCGAAATGTCGCTCTTGCCCAAGACTTCCTCGCAAATAGAGGTCGACACTTCTTCAGCTCGAATTCACGATGGCGCTCCCGCCTAAGACTTGTCTTGGTGGAAGCATGAAAAGGATTAAAACTTTCGCAGCGCCGATGTATAGCTCCACCCCCCAGGAGGACCCCAAGTCGGCCCAACAGGCCCCCAAGAGGCTCCCGAGAGGCGCCTAAGAGGCACCCGAGCGGCCCCCAAGAGGCCCCACGAGGCCCGCAAGAGGCACCCAAGACGCCCCGAGAGGCTCTGAAGACCGCAACGAGGCCCACAAGACGTCCCGAGAGGCGTCCAAGAGGCTTCCAAGGCACCCCAAGAGGCCCCAAAGACGTCCCCAAGAGGCCTCCAAGAGAGCCTAAGAGACATCCCAAGGGACTCTGAGAGGCTTCCAAGGAGCTTCTGGTCTCCTCCGATAAGGGGAACTCCCCCTTGTCATCGTTCCTGGATGGGCTGGTGGGGATACTTTTTTGGTCGCAGCCACCAGCGAGCGCGCAAGCGGCGAGAGGATCTGGTAGGGATACACGAAGCCTTAAGAATTCAAACTCATTCCTGCTACGCTGTTGCACAAGCTCGCTGGTGGGGGTTGCCACAAGCAACTGGATACACAGATGTGGCAGCAGTGCGGAACTTCGGTCTTGTCGGAATTCCCGAGTGACCAAGGCCGCCAGGTGACGAGTGGATCCCACTCTGATGTAATAGCCAGGTGGGTGAAAATGACGCAAATCATAATGTTGCTGGGCATGCAAATCTGGATGAAAAACCGCTCTCAGACCGGATCTTCGGAATCTGAAGCTGTCAAACCGCTGGCAATGCAGGCACAAGTCTAACACTTATGGTCCTTGTTAACACTGTCAAACCGCTGGTTGACCCTGCGCGGTACAGGCACAAGACCAACACTTCTGATCCTCGTTCACACCCATTTTGTCGACCTGCATCATGTCGGCATTCCTCCCCGCTGCTGTGTCCTGGCACGCCTCGCTGGGTGCGTCCCAGTGGTAGCCGTCGGCAGTCGCCTGCGGCGCATCGCTCTGCGGCAAGAACGGTTTGGGCTCTTCAGGGGCGCTAAAGTCCACAACGTCGGGCACGACCTCTTCCTCCTTGTGCTGCGTGTCTGTCAGGCGCGCCTCGAGCGGCACCTCATGCTCCGCCGCTGTGGCTTTGAACCCGGCATCGGCGGCATCGGCTCTGACCGCGCGCCGCGCGAAGATGACTGACACGGTGAGGACCAGGGCCAGGATCACGGCGAACAGCCCAAACGCGAGAATGAGCACGTGTGAGTCCTCCATCGCGCCTGGCCGATGAGCGCTGCTGTCGCTGCTGTCGCCACAGAGCTCGAGCCAGTTGGAGCAGGGGGAAAAAGGAGCGGGCGGACGACTGGGAGCACCCAGGCGTAGCCGAGTTCTCCGTGCGGACCGCACGGCAGGCAGTACTATTTCTGTTGCCGTCGTGCAGATGTTGTGCCATAAAATCGCTCGCCGGTGATAGGAGCCAAGTATAGAGTCTGCCATTCGATTCGTGCTATCCTTATTCTTCCTCATCCACGCTGCCAAGACAGAGATGGGCGGAGGAGGCGAACATCAGGACCAGAGTGTGTAATACGTTGCGGTTGCATGGTTAGTTACACAGGAGAACGCTACACTCAGTGGTTCTTAGGTCTAGTGCTGATGCTGATCAGAATGACGATGACACTGGGGATACTATTGCAAGAACCAAAGCCCATGCGTTTACCAATGTCTCTTTGCCATCCCACATGCCATCTCTATCACTGCATTCACTCATGCCCCTCGTCTTGCCCTACCCGCTTTTGGCCCCCGCTTGGAATACATGCAACTTTCACAACTCCCGCCTCTTCCTCCTCGTTTTCCTTTTCCTTTTCCGCTTTGTCTTCCCCCTCCTCCTGGAGGTCGCCCGCAGTCCCTGGTGATCCGTGGAGTCCTCCTCACCTCCCTTTTCTACTCCTCCTCCTCCTTCTCCTCCTCCTCCTCCTCCTCGTCCCCCTCTTCCCTCCCCCTCCTCATCCTTCCTCCTCGTCCTCAACTCCTTCCCTTGTCGCATCACCAGACGTGTCGTAGAACGGGCCTGCCGTTTCGCTTGAGACTTGCTGATAAGTTATGCTGACAAGCCTGGATCTGTTCAAAAGTTGCACACTTGGAGCACAAATCGTTCACGATATATGGCTCTAGCTTTGACGCCGCGCACGTCTCTCTTCAAAGCTTCCAGCGGTTGCACGGATGGGGGGCAGGTGGTTCTCAACATGTTGCTCTATCCCGAGCGCTGAGCACATTCGTCTTCAATGCTTGCAGCAGTTACAGGGATGCAGGGTGGTCCCTTTTCAAAATATGGTCTGTCAGTTGAGATGGCCGATCTTTGGTTGCTCGATGCGTTCCAGCGTGCAACAGTGACATAAACGGAGGCCGGGCCCTCGCGTGACACTTGCTCACGTCTTGATATGTCTACCAGTTGCAAGGGTGGTGCCGGCTCTTCTTCAGAGCGGGGCTCCGCCTGCATGGCTCGCCCACGGAACGCTCGTCTTGCAAGGGGGCGGTCCCCGA